GGCGGGGAGGATGCGGAGGGGGTGCCGCCTGTTACCCGAACTGTCCGTGGGGCCGCCCCTAGTAACGTCACCCATCCCGGTGCCCCTGGTGTCGAAGTTAGGAGACCCCCGAAAACCTAAGGCCTAGCACCACAGCCGAAGGCAAGTAAGGGGCTGGAACCCAGTGCCTGTGATGCCCATCCGCAGGCCAAAGGTATATACCTTCCCCCCGGCGAAACTTGGGGCTCTGTCAATAGATAAGGTAGGGTACACCCTGGAGGGTGCAGCCGATATGGGCAGTGGGAAAAACCAAAATGGAAATAGACGAAAACACAACATCAATGGCTAGTAAGGAATCTCGAGAGGACAAGGAGGAACATAGAAACGAGGAGGATCAAAGGAAGGAGGACCGAGAATACGCGGAGAACTCGCATTTAGCGATTTACTTTGAGGACCGCTCCCAAGAGATGAGAACAGAGAGAACAAAGGAGGGTAGAAGCTCCTTTTTCAAGAGACCAGAACCTAAATCCTATACGGACAAAACCATAGAAAGAAGTAGCAGGGACTCCTCCGCGATGGAGACGGAGATCCACGAACTCAGCTCATCGGAAAGCGACGTGGGAGTAGAGTACGGCAGAAACAGAGGAAGAAGAGCAGTGATAGAAGAGAACTCCGATGCATCTCCACCAGAAAAAGTAAATGTAGGAAGTGCAGGACCTCAAAGGACCGCAGGAAATAGAAAAAGGGAAAGATTGGAATCTGACTCGGACAGCCGTAAGAGCAGGACGACAGGAGAGTACGTCGGCAGAAAAGAGGCAATATTCAGATATAATGAGGCCAAGGAAGAATCACTTCAATTGGATAGGGAGAAAATCATTAGAGAATACAGCGCCATAGAGCTGTTCAAAAAGGCCAAGGTCAACTTAGACAAAATTAAAGAACAAATGGAGGATTTGACCAACGAGGAACTAGCCGAAAAGATTAATTATAACCTGATTGAGGTTTTAAGAATTGCAAGATCATCTAGCAATTTGAAAGGAACCTTTTAAAAAAGCTTAAAAATCGCGGCGGCTTCCTCAATAGGAATATTAGAAATTTTTAAGAAAAGAGCCTCCCTCTCCAAGGAGGAAGCACGAACGGAGGAAACCAGATCAAAACGAGAAATCGCACTTAGGATGAGGCTGGAAGAAGTGGAGGCAAAGAAGAAGAAGACCTTCCAAGCAGCAGGGAAGGCAGAGGCATATCGAACCGTGCTACAAAATATTAAAAAGGAAAGGATAGAAAAGAAAGACAAGAAAAACAAAACTCCCAGCCCCAAAGAGAGTAGCAACAAGAAATCTACTTCGATAACGCCGAGAAAGAGTCCAAGACGAGTCCCATCTGCCAACATTAGGACAAGAGAAAGACTCGCCTCTTCAGAGTCGGAACAGATGGAAGCGGAGAAAACAAAGAGAAAGGTCACTCTCGACGAACCGGAAAACTGGCCGGAAGTCAAACGTCCTACCCTCTGCGGGAAAAAAAAATCATTAGGGAGGACCTGGAAACACAACGAGCAATATATAAGGTCCATAAGAGATACATTACCGACATACATGGTGACTCCGAGGGCCAAAAGACAGACTCCTGGGAGCAGGCAGGAAAAAGCCACCAGCCAAATACGAGTGGAATAAATAATACCACCCCAAGAGCCTTGGCCGAGATGATTAGAGAGATCGTGTCGGAGGAATTAAGTAAACTTCAAAAGAAGCCAGTAGTGAAGAAAGTTCAAATCCTAAAAACTTCTCCAACAGCTAAAACGAGGGAGAAGCCGCGACAAAAGGCGGAGTATCCCAAGGAGAGCAATAAATAGGAAACAGAACCCACGCCAACGACAACTAGGACACCAGAAACGTCAGGAAAACCAAATCTGGATGAAAAAAGAAAGGAAATACCCTGGACAAAGGTAATAGGCAGAAAAGCGAGGAAGGAGCAAAGCACAGGAAAAACGATAGCAGTGGGAAATAAAAACACGCTGGTTAAACACAGTAAGCAGGAGCGCACAGCCGGAAATAATAGCAGCAAACGCGTGCCCAGAACGGCAGCGGTGCAAATTAGCTGCCGTGGAGATGAGACCTACGCGGATGCGATGCGTCTATGAAAAGCAAAATAGACATCAACTCCCTAGAGATACGGGAGAGAAGACCGAGAAAGGCGAGAACAGGGGCTCTGTTGGAGATCCCGGGAGCTGAGGGCGCCGAAAAACCAAATAAGCTGGCCGATAAACTAAAGGAGGCTCTTGGAGAAGAACAAAATGTACTGATCTCCCGCCCAGAGAAAACAGCGGAAATCAGGTTGAGAGACCTAGAGGAGTCAATGACAAAGGAAAACATAATAACGGCTCTGATGATCAAAGAAGACTGTCCGGCGAAAACCTTCAAACCAGGGGAGATCTCAACGTCACTACAACGGACTAGGGACCTTATAGCTAAGATGTCCACTGGCTGCAGCCAAAAAGATAACCGAAAATAAAAGGATACGTATTGGATGAACAGCGGTTAGAGTAGAGCTGCTCCCAGTAAGGACAGCTCAATGCTTTCTATGTCTGGAGACCAGACACGTGAGGAGCCAGTGTCGTAGTGAACACGATAGAGGAATGGTATGTTACAGATGTGGAAAAGGTCACCTGGCTAGAGGATGTCAGGCACAGGTACACTGCATTATTTGCGACGAGAAGAAACTGAAAGCGAATCATCGGATGGGAGGATTGGCATGCAAGTCAACCACGCCACAAGGACGCAAATCAGGCGGTGCGAAACAAGGAATCTTCAAGAACAATAGGAAGATTATACAAAAGCCATCAGGGAGAAAAGACCTAGATAGAATGGAGATAGAGACAATAACAACAACGGACACCCCAGCAACGAAGGAAAGAGGGGCTAGAGAATCCAGCGTTGTCAGATCCATGGCGGCATGCAGCGTCAAAGATAGACATACGCTGGAAGCGGAACAAACACAGGAAATGATGGAGGTTGAAGTAACGCAGGAGGAACTCCCGGACACCCAACCGCTACAAACAGAGACGGATTGACCGAAGGAAGGACAAAGCTGGTCCAACGACGGCCAACCAGGCGAAATAGAGGAAGGAGAAAGAGAGGGAGGACTCTCAACGAACGAAAGAAATGATTAATAAAATATTACAAGCTAATATAAATCATTCTAGGGACGGGCATGATATCCTCATGCAAACTATGGCGGAAGTGGATTTCTCCTTGGCCGTGGTGTCAGAACCGTACACCATCCCAGTAGACCATCCCCATTGGATCTCAAATGAAGAGGAGACAATCGCCATAGTCTGGAGACAATCGCCATAGTCTGGAGACAAACTCGAAACGCAATCCCGTGTACCCCTCATATTAAGGGGTTCCATCTCTATACGGTGGGGGGACATGGTTCTGGTGGGAATATATCTATCACCCAGCCTAGAAATGAGCGACTTCGAGGATGCCCTCGACGAACTGGAGAGATGGATCCCCCAGATATAGAATAAACCCATATTCGTGGCAGGGAATTTTAATGCAAAATCAGAAATGTGGGAGTCACCAAGGACAGACACACGCGGGACCTTAGTGGCAGAATGAGCCAGTCGGCTGGAGCTGTTATGTCTAAATCATGGAGAAAAAAGCACATGTATAAGGACAAACGGAGAATCTATCATTGATCTAACATTTGCCAACCCACTGGTTGCCAAAAGAGTAAATTCCTGGATGGTGTCGGACAAAGAGTCAAAGTCGGATCATCAATATATAGAAATGCAAATACGACCCACGGGAATGCAAGAAGTCAAAAGTAAACTTCCACGGGCCAAGCGTTGGACCACGAAAAAACTTGAGGAGGACAGGTTCATAGCAGCTATACTAGCAGGATGTTGGCCACGAAACAATCAGATGGCAATAGAAGACACGGAGACACTTGCTAAAGTTACCCAAGAAGTGCTAACAAATGCATGTGACGTCGCAATGCCGAGGACGGAACCTAGACCGCGCATGGCAATGCCCTGGTGGTCGGAAGAGCTAGCACAGCTGAGAACGAATCTCTCAGGTGCACGAAGACGGCTCAGAAGACTGAGGAGGAGAGACGGACATCATCCGGACGAAGACGAAATCCAAATGAGACTGGGGGAATTCCGCCAAGCGCGAGACACCTTCAGCAAGACCTTCAGAAAGGCAAAGGAAAAAGCTTGGGAAGAATTTCTCTTAACCCTAAATGAGGACCCATGGGAACGCCCATATAAAACGGTCCTCAATAAACTCAGAAGATGGGCACCTGCTGGATAGAGTTTTGGCCGGATTATTTCCGCCACCACCAATGGCGCCGGAAATGACGGCTTGATGGAACCTGACCTGCCCTCGGAGGGAACGTCGGCCTGGAGAGAAGAACTGGAAGTAACCCAGGAGGAATTGCAATATGCAATAATACGGATGAAAAAGAAAAAGGCAGCCCCAGGTCCGAGCGGGATCCCGTCGGAGGCATGGGCATTAGCTGCGACTGTAATAGCGGGAGAACTGAGAAGACTCTATACAGAATGTCTGAAGAGAGGTGAATTTCCAAGCGTATGGAAAAATTCCAAGCTGTGTCTACTAAGAAAGCATGGGAAGCCAGAAGATCAGGCAATGGGGTATCGCCCCATTTGCCTGCTAGACGATTAGGCCAAGATACTAGAAAGAATAATATCCGAAAGAATCATTGACCATCTCAATGGAAGGGATCCAAATCTTAGCCCGTCGCAATTTGGGTTCAGGAGAGGGAGGTCCATAATTGACGCGATCGCCACCGTGAGAACGTTCATGGAAGAGGAGTTTAGGAACAACAACATGGTGATAGGAGTATCACTAGATATTGCAAACGCCTTCAACTCACTACCGTGGGGAACTATTGGCACTGCCCTGCGAAGACACAGAATCCCTCTATACCTTAGGAGGATTACTAGAAACTATTTGGAAGAAAGAAAACTTTCATTCTCTAAAAATGACGGCATGGCCAGTGAAATACCGATAAGAAGAGAAGTTCCACAGGGGTCTATTCTGGGCCCACTTCTGTTCTGGTCTATTCTCGGCTTCGACACAGTAATGTCGGAGGAGGATCTACCTGCAGAGTGTCTCGTGATTTGTTATACCGATGACACAATGATTCTGGCAGCTGGAAGTAATTGGGAGGAAGCAACGATTCGTGCGAACATCGCAACCGACTTAGTAATCCAGAGGATTACAGAGTTGGGGCTAAAAGTCTCACCGACGAAGACCGAGGCAGTGGGATTCCACAACAAAGGCAGGCCAGCCTCAAAGGCAGGCCCACACCTCACTGAGAGTCGCAGGCACAGAGGTCAGGATAGGTACACGCATGAGATATCTTGGACTAGTTTTAGACAGTAAGTGGACCTTCAACGACCACTTCGCTGAACTGGCTCCAAGACTGGAAATGTCGGCATTAAGCTGAAGCAGACTCCTTCTCAATTTGGGAGGGCCACGCAATAGAGTAAGGAGACTATACGCCCAGGTAATATCTATCGCTCTATATGGAGCACCTATCTGGGCATACGAAATCAACAAAAATAGGAAGACGCTACAGATTTTCAGGGCGTCACAAAGGAGGATGACGGGTAGACTAATAAGAGCGTAAAAAACTACCTCGCTCGCGGTAAATACGGCTTTAGCAGGGATGCCCCCCTTTGAGCTAGAGGCCAAAAGACAAGAAGAAGTTCATGAAAGAATATCGGACTTGAGGAAGGACAACCTGCATAGTACCCCCTTACCAAAGGGCTCCGTAGACACAATCAAGGAAACATGTAAAAGAAAGATGATAAGGGAGTGGAAATCATCGATGAAAGGCACGGAGCAGGGAGATAATGCAATCATCGGCGCGATTGGAGAGCAACTTCAAGAGTGGCTAGATGCAAAGGTGGGTCTCTCTTTCCGAGCGACACAGGTTATTACTGGTCACGGCTGCTTCAGCAGGTACTTGTGTCGTATCGGAAGGGAGACGACCACAAGATGTTGGCACTGCGAGGCGACGAATGATTCGTCAAGACATACTCTCAGGTATTGTCCGGCCTGGGACCAAGAACGCGCAGCTCTGATAGAGACCATTAGACCAGACCTCACACCTAGCACGGTAATCAGAGCCCTGAGAAGAAACGACAGCAGAAAGACCTTCCTACGCTTCTGCGAAACAGTCATGAGGAAAAAAGAAGCAGCGGAAAGAGCGAGAGAGGGAGTCATCGTACCCTCAGATATGCAGGACAGCTAACAGTAATGCTAGCAGTAGTTCTAGTTAGATAACTAACAACACAATTGATACGGAACTTAGAACCATTAAGCTACACTAAGTTACGATAGGAGAGCTCTATGAGCTAAACCGAGAAGGGGGTGCAGGGTGCGTGCGAGATGCACAGAGGGATAGGTGAGAACACCGGCTAGCGGAACGGTGAGAGACTCTGGCGACAGGGCCTCGAAAACACGGGGAGGGGTATCTTCTCCATCTTTAACTTAGACGCCCCTCCCCGTGGCCCCAGAGCAATATGCCAATAGGAGGAGACTGACAGTCGCACCGACTAGCGGGGCGACTGGTCTCAACTTAAAACAATGGATAGGGAGGCGGTAAAGGCCGTGCCAGATAAGTCTGGCCCTCTATAAGAAAGACCCATGAGATCAAAGGCGGGGGCCCGCAGCCCCTTCGCGATGGGTAAGCGGGAAAGGGAGGGTGTGTCGCCGGCGACTTCACACCCTCATGTAAATAATGGTACGTTAAAAATCGTAACAGAGCGGGGACCCATCCGGAAGTACTACTGATGCGAAATTCCCGGATGGGTCCCAACCGTCCGGGTTAGGTACGCCCGCAGGGGTTTTAGTGGGTATGCCCTCAAAGGCAGCAGCCTTGGAGGGTGAGTCCCACATACCCCATCCCTCTCCCCCGAGGGGGATGGAAATGTGTATTGCATTTCCCCTGCGTCACAAAAAAAAGTCCGGTGAAGTCTGGTGAAGTCCAGTGAAGTCCGGTGAAGTCTGGTGAAGTCCGGTGAAATCCGATGAATTCCTCGAGTCCGACGAAGTCCAATGAATTCCTCGAAGTCCAATGAAGTCCGGTGAAGTCCGATAAATTCCGATGAATTCCGGTGAAATCCGATGAAATCCAGCGAAGTCTGATGAATTCATGAATTCTGATGAAGCCCGATAAATTCCGATGAAATCCGATGAATTCCGGTGAAATCCGATAAATTCCGGTGAAATCCGATGAATTCCGGTGAAATCCGATGAATTCCGATGAAGTTCGATGAAGTCAAACGAAGTCCGATGAATTCATGAATTCCGATGAAGTCCAATGAATTCCAGTAAAGTCCGATGAATTCCGATGAATTCCGGTGAATTCCGGTGAAGTCCGATGAATTCTGATGAAGTTAGATGAAGTCCGGTGAAGTCCGATGAAGTCAAACAAAGTCCGATGAATTCATGAATTTCGATGAAGTCCAATGAATTCCAGTGAAGTCCGATGAAGTCTTGAAGTCCGAAATCCAGGTGTACATCTATTTTTTGAGTGGTTACCCCCTCGGGTAGAGATGTACGCATGGCTGTCACTCTCGCACAGTCGGTCGCCGCCCACCACCGTTAGCATAAGGAAGGCTCATACGGGGTTTATAATAGAAATCATAGCGGTCGTTAGATCTTAAGTCCTAGAAAATTAATCAATCATACTCGAATACGAGAAGAAAAATCGACTATTAATCAATTTTCTACGACTCTACGACCACTACGATTTCTATTGTAGACACCGTCATCCCTTCAATATGTATAGAGCTCACTGCGCGCATTAGCTCAGTTCCCCTTTCCCATGCGCATAGAAGAACGGAACGGATCCCATGCTGCTTAGCGTGCGGTTGTAAACAGATTAGATAAAAAACACAATTCTAATGGGTGTATGGGACGAATATTACATTGTTGCTTTTTAAGGAACCTTAAAGTTACAATCAAAACTTACTATATTAATAGTTACTGCTGGTTATTGCTGCTACAAACTCAGCAAAAAATTTTTATGCATAAATATATGTATATAAATATATATAGTGTGCCCACGCACGCACGCATGCACGCACGCCAACCAAACGTTTGATATGCAAACTTTAACCAAACAATCTCCTAGTAGTGCATCGGATAACGCAAATGTCGGCGATAATTATCCAAAGTCTTGCAAACTGTAGGATTCACTTTGAAACATAACTCAGCTCCCAAACATGTTAGAGTAATGATTGTAATGTCATTTTAGAGCAAAAGTTTTCCACTGCAAAACTTATGTGGTAATATTTCTCGCTCCATCCTTGTTTTGCCCGTGAAAAGCTGAAAATCGTGATATTTTTAGAACTTTAACGCTGCTTATGATCTTCACAAATAAGATTATTATTCGTTCATTAGATGAGGCAAAAAATATTATTTTAAGAGGTATGATCACCCTAAAATTTTCAAAAAATTGAAAATTTTTTTTTGCTTTTTCGATATTTTATCATCACAAAAATAAGTAGCAATTGAACTTATAACGAAAAAAATGAGCGCAAACTGAGCGTTTACTGAACGCTATGAGCGCTTGCATATAACGCAAGCTGAGCGCTTGAACTTTAAACGCGTTTTTCTCAAAACATTTTTCAAATCGGCATGACAAATAACTTCAATAATTTCTATCCGAATGGGTTCAAATTTTAACTGCAACTTCTTAGACGCATTTCGCAGAGAAGTACGTAGGGGTTTTCGATATATAAAAAACTTTATATTTTATGAACAGTTTTTGAACAAAATTTTTAGCAAAAAATGCAAGTGTAACTTCAAATGCCCGTCATTCTTGAAAAAATATCAATATTTTTTCAAACTCCTACGTACTTCTTTAGGTATTTTAATGTACATTTAAAAAAAATTTTTTTTTGCTCTAGGTCAAAATTTGTGAATGCTAAATGTCATGCCCCGGAGCACCTCCATAAAAACCGTGCTAGATTTTGTCATTGGTAGCGCCGCCATTTTGGATGCAAAAAATAAAAAAAAATTTTTTAGTGGACTTCAATGTATGCACTAACTAATACTTTAATTAGATTTTATATTACATTATTTTTTAAACTAAAACAAATTTTTTAACTTATTGCTGTTTTTATGCTCGCTAGGGTGGCCATACCCCTTAATTATTTTAAAGTTGAGGTTACACCCTTCAAAACGCACCTCGAAAAATTGTCCTGCGATTCCTGGAGAAGATGAGATAGTCTCTTAAAAATCGGCAAAATTTGCATATTTTAGAGTAATCTCCTAATTTTGATGAAGAGTATATTTAGATAACGCTTAATTTCTTTCTTATGCGATTTTTTCAACAAGTCAAATAAAAATAAAAAATTACTCTGACTCTTGTAAAACTGTATAATTATTATTGAATATTTTACGTTATTACATATAACAACAAATATCTAAAAAAAAAGACTTGGAAGAATCTATCAATAATAATAAAAATAAGCAAGCCCATCAAAGCCAACATCAGTTGTTCGGATGCACAATTTATTTTCGTGTTAATTTAACAAATCATATAATATCAAAAATTAATTCATATACGTTTCGACCTCTATATTTGGGTCCTTATCAATATAAACCTAAATCCGCTTACATACTATACGCAAATTCCAAGCTGCGATACAGCTCATTTTTCTTTATCCAATTTCCAAGTTAGCTGTGTACGAAATACTCACATCAATATAACAATTCACACCGGCTTAATAATTAATATAAATCAAAAATTACATATACTAAACATCAAATCAAAGCTGGTATACTACCAAAAAATTAAAGTTATAAATATTAAAAATTATGCATACAGTCATATGCATTACATCGAATTGAAAAGAAAACTTATACAATATGTGAATTGCGATTAGAGTCATAAATTATGTGTTAATAATTGAAATACTGAAAGTTAATACAATTGTAAAGTTACCTGAATTAAGTCAAACGCATTGTAACTACATAAAAATATTAGTTCGTAAAATAATATGAAATTTAAAATAAATAACATTACGTCAATTTAGAAATAATTATACAATGATATAAACTTACATAAAATTATATTTATATTGATAAGGACCCAAATATAGAGGTCGAAACGTATATGAATTAATTTTTGATATGATTTGTTAAATTAACACGAAAATAAATTGTGCATCCGAACAACTGATGTAGGCTTGCTTTTTTTTATATTTTATTGTTATTACCAGAGATGGGAAGTAACTCGTTACTTGTAACGAAGTTACAGTTAGAGTTACTTTTTTTCAGTAACTGTAACTTAACTTCGTTACTTTCTTTCCATCTGTAATTATAACTTAACTTAGTTACATCTTTTAAGTAACTAGTAACTAATTTAATAGTTACTTTCTAGTTATTTTATATATTTGAAACGTATTTGTCAATTTAGTGTGTGGTAGTGTCCACTTGGCGCTACAAATACTTCGAAATATTTGATTAATCAGAAGAAAGAAATTTAATTAAAGCGTTCAATGAACTCT